GTGTTAAAAATAGTGGTGCAAATTGGAGTTGTTCCCAGCTCCTTTTGGACTCTGCTATTATTACATTGATATTTCACTTTGCCCTTCGTGGGCTGTTTCATTATTTCAATCACACTTTTAGGGAGATAGAAAAAAGACATTCTCATCTCCTGTCTCTTATTTAGCCTTTCCAGTCATCAGTTGATTATTTTTCCTTTTCAGCTGTATTAGTGAGCAATCACACCATTGTTATCCAGTTCTGCAAAGATCATAACATTGGGCTGGTGTTAGTTGGCCCAGAAGCTCTTTTGGCAGCAGGTAAGTTAATAAGTAAGTTAGTTTTTAAGTAAGTAAGTTAATAAACAAGTTAGAAGTTCTTTTCTTCTAACTTGACAGAAAAAAATATAGAAATGATATTATAATATAATAAATGAACATGTTAGAATCATATCAAATTATATAATTAGGTTGGCAGGGAAAAATCAGCCCCTTGAATTCTGCTTTCAAATGGGGGTAACTATGAGAGTGCTTAGAAAAGTAAAGAGCTGAAGAGCCTTAAAACACAGGCTGAGCTGGGTCAGTGGATATTCAGAACCTCATTTTGAGGGTGAAGGAATCATCCGAGACAAAGGCAAGTGTAACAAAAGCCCGATGGGAATTTCCTTTCGTCACACCATGGGAGTCCCCTCGGTGCTTGTGCTGTTTGTGTTCCTGTGCTCAGGGATTGTGGATGACCTGAGGGCAGCAGGAGTTCGGTGCTTTGGGCCCTGTGCCAGGGCAGCCCAGCTGGCATCCAACAGCAGCTCCAGCAAAGCCTTCCTGGAGAGGCACGGGATGCCCACGGCGCGCTGGAGAGCCTTCAGCGACCCCCAGGAAGCCTGCAGGTTCATCACCAGGTAAATGTGCTGCCATGGGCTCCTCTGAGAGTCACCTGTGCCTGTGCCCTTCGCTGGGAACCCCTCAGCTCTTGTTCTTGTGCAGAGGTGCTAATTAATGAGCTCTGCAATTACAGAGCCGTGATGAAGGTGTGGAGATGCTGGAGCCAGGCTGGGACACCTGGGGGTGCTCACCTGGACAGGAGAAGCTGCAGGGAGAGCTCAGAGCCCCTGGCAGGGCCTGAAGGGGCTCCAGGAGAGCTGGAGAGGGACTGGGGACAAGGATGGAGGGACAGCACCCAGGGAATGGCTTCAAAGCAGG